TGGGCAATCCTACTTCCGTAGTGATACTGCCTCGGAAACCCAAGGAGGGGTCGCTATGAGTCAGGGCTGACTCGACGGCACATAACAACAACAACAACATGTGGAGATTTAGGAGCTCTGGAGCATAGTGCCTAAGCACTTTACTACTAACTAGAAGGCTGGCAGTTCAAACCCAGCAGCCACTCCTCGGAAGGAAGATGAGGCAATCTACTTCTGTAGTGATACCACCTCGGAAACCCAAGGAGGGGTCGCTATGAGTCGGGTACAACTCAACAGCACATAACAACAGGTGGAGATTTAATATAATGAGACATGCTAATAGCCACCATCTTTGAATCTTCATTTGCATGTTTAAACTGTAACCCCATGGAGTTGCATGTATGACATGACCCTGACTTAATCTCTACCCTGTAAAACTTGGAAAGCACCAGGAACAGGTGTTCTCTCAGAATCTAAGACGTCTCAGCTCGTGCATGAGCTTAATAAAGGCCATGTCCTATGTTCTTCCCTTTGGTGTCTCTTGATTTAAAGGCACCAGTCATTCAGCAGGTGACATCACTATTCTGAATTGCTGGTGAGAGGCAGTCCTCAGGTCAGGCACAGCCACCACCTGGGAAAGCAAACCCACAGGCAGGTCCTAGGCCGCACGCCGAAGGTCTGACTGGGTGGGCACTACTCGTTTCAAATAAGCCCCTTCATGTGGTCATTCCACTATGGGCTCTGCAGCTTCTCTGGAGAAATTCGGCACCAGAGCCTGCTATGCAGAGTAAGCCCAACGTTGGTGGACAGGGAAGGCCGCACTTCAAGCCCCCAACACTGGCTGCATCGAAGCCGTGTTTTGTAAAATCCTGGGGCGATGCAGGAGTGCATGCAAGCTGGAAGATGCAGCCCTGGGGGTGTCTTCATGCCGAGATGTCTGCCAGGAAGGGCCACGTGCACGTGGTGACAGAGCGCACAGGGTGACCAGAAGGACCACGTGGGAGCTTATGGCCCAAGCCCCTGGAGAGCGGCCTTTGCCATGGGCATCACTACCACTGAGGGAAAATCTGCCAGGTAGGGTCGTGTGCACATGGTGAAGGACGACACAGGATGAGCAAAAGGGTGCCACAGCCAGGAGCTTACTGCCCAAGCCCCCGGAGAACAGCCTTAGCTGTGGGCATCGTTAACACTGAGGGAAAGGGATGTTGACTGGCCATGGGACACACTGACCTGCACTGTAAGAACACTGCCACAAGAAGAGAAGCTAGATGAATGGGACCTTCTAAAAATGAAATTTTTATGTGCTTCCAAGGACTTCTCCAAAAGAGTCAAAAGAGAACCTACAGATTGGGAAAGAATATTCGGCAGTGACATATCTGACAAGGGATTTATCTCCAGAATTTACAGAAAACTCCAACACCTCAATAACAAAAAGACAAATAATCCAATT